AATGCGCTGTACAGGGCAATGTGAAGCTAGGAACGAACGCAAGGCATCCACGGCGGTACAGGCCACTTCACTGAGAACAGAAGACAGGCGTTAACGTCAAGCAGGGCGGTTCTACCTCAAGGCATAAGGGAATGCGCTGTTCAGGGCAATGCGAAGCTAGGAACGAACGCTATGTACGTGACGCTAAGGCTCATTCAAATGCCTCACTTCAATTTCCTAAGATTGGCAAAAGAAGAGAGTGGTTTCAGCTCTAATCCTTTAGGCCTTTCTCACTGTTTATAATAGCGTAACGAATGCCAGATAGTTTTCTCAGCGTAGCAGAACACCCCACTCTTTCTCATCGTCTAGCAACCGAATTTTTTGAGTTTGCAGAGCAAAACCCGTTTATAAACAGTTTCGCTAATGGTAAGATCTTTTATGATTTCATGGTACTTCTGATTAGGACGAATGGGCGATCTATATCTCTTTTGTAGCCTTCAAATCTTCTCGTCTCTGATCACGTCTACCTGATCGACTTCGGATGTGCTCGATTTGTCGACGACGAAGAAGCGTTGGCGTGGACTGACTCTGATAAAAGGTAGGTTTCTGAAAAAAGCTTCAGTATGGCAGTAATACTGGTCCTCTTTCAGCTATTCCGCCCCTGAACGTATCGCTGGGAAGCCGCCTTCTACCGCATCAGATATTTGGTTCGTTTCGATATCATTTTCATGTTTTTTTTGTTTTTCAATATTTTGGTGCCGGTTTTGACTCACCTACTTATGCCTCCTGGAGCGTTGTGCTCGGTAGAGAAATCCGCGTGATCACTCTTGTCTCCAAACTCACCTCGGTCTTTGTATGGGTAGTGTGTTGTGTGATCAATAAATCACCACCGCAATTCTCAGTTGAATTCAAATACATGGCGCAAGTCACTTCAAGGAAATGGCGATAGCCGTTATAGTTGTTACCCCTTGTTCTCTATTCAGGTCTTTCGGTGCTGTTCTGTTTGAGTTATGCTTTGGTGTTGCTCCACATCATATGCTGCCTACACTGACTACAAATCCTGAACAGAGATCACCAGCATTATTATCGTTTCTCAACGAGGTTTGTTTACAAGTATTGAGATAAACAAATGGGGACAGTGCTCTTGCTTGTTTCGAGTCTTTGCATGGCACTAGTTAAAATCAGCGGCTCTTTCGAATATTGCCGATTTTTACTTCCTACCAAGGATACCCTACCTTGCTGCAGATTGTTTTCTCTGAGAGCTAGGTAGCTACAATAGTGCTCTATCTAGTCCTCGAAAACGAGACGGCTCAGACCAATCTATTTCCTTTATTTAAAAGTACCCAGTGGCTTGCCGTCACGGCACGACAACTGTCTAAAACATCTAGCTATGACCTGATGCGGAATGAGGCAACTATCTAGAACTCGCCGCGCGGCATGTGCTTGGAGATTTTTTCATAAATGTCGTGTGGCGCAACTGGTCTCATAGTTAGCTGGTCGGGACTTCTCCTCTCCTAGGTCGGGAAACGCAAAAAAGTTACCAATGTAGCAGTGGGACCACTTTATCTCTACCGGCTTTTTCGACCAGTTTCTACCACTGATTTTCTACCGAATGTAGGGGGCAGACTGGTTCTTTCCAATTGCGGATACCAGTAAAGCAGGACTTTTCAATCAACGAACTTTTGTCTCTCTGGCTCTCCAGTAGTTTCCTTTTGGTATATCTGCTTAGAAATATTACCTGTGTAAATCAGGTTTAGATATTGTGATTACCTAGGTATTAGCGCTTGAGGCATCACGAAGACCCACGGCGGAGCAGTGTCTACAGAAAGGGTGGTTCAAGGTGAGCACCACTGACAGCTACTGTCTTTTTACCATCCCCTTAGAGGTTTCGCTTCAGAAAATGACCCATCTGGAAGTTCCTCATGAAACACGGGAATTTTCGAGAAGTGTCAGTTTTGAAGGATAACCTGGAGTTGGATTACCTATTTGAAGAGATAAGCTAGCACTGATGTGGCATTGATTCTGTTGATTCCTTTGTAGACATATAATACATACATAGTTAACTCTTTAGATTAGGTTCTGTTACTTAGGAAATCGCTAGCTTGAGTGAATTCGGGTCATGTTGAATTGTTGAGCTGAAGACTTTCTATATCAATAAATATTCTATTTTGTTGTATTATTCGTTACTCTGTTTGAAAACTGAGATTGCGGACCATGACCGCGACATATCGGAAATAATTCCTAGAACTTATTGAATAAATTAATATTCCATGCACTTCGCAAAGTTTTAGTGTGTTTTTCTTGAATATTGTTGTTTTTTGTGGAATTCGGAAAGGAGTATGCCCTTCCCCCATCCCTCCACCCTATCTAAAAGGTTTTCTCCCGGGCAGTATTGAAATGAGTGCAAAATCAGAGATTCGGACTTCCTTCCGAAGATTGGACAAAATCGATTGAGTAGCCCACCCAATAGGGCTTCAAGAAATCGACGGAAGTGTCCAGGTAAGTTCTGGTTGATTTCTGTATTCATGTTACTTTGTGCTGTGATAAGCTCATAGAAAAGGGTAATGGGGAATAAAAACGCGGGATAGTGCCCATGATTTCAACCCACTCATTTCACCCATTTGAAGTGAGCTATGTTTGTAGGCATGAGAATGTGTGTCAGAAGACCCCTTCAAGGTCACCCTCACGTGAAAGGGCGGGACTTGCCCGAAGGGACGATGTTAACACGAGATCGCTACTCGCGACGACCTACAATTCTGCTACTAACTCATGGTCAACCGACGGCTTGCGGCGGATTAATTGTCGCAAACCGTCGGTTGACCATTAATTGGTAGCAGTATTGTAGTTTTAGTGCAGTGCATCTTGAAAAAGACTCCTGGTTGTTTGTTTCATTGCAGAGATTCGGTGTAAACAAATGTTAAGCCTTACTGATAACGATGAAAGTATCAACGGCGATATGGTTGGTGGTAGATGGTTTAGTAGGTCGTTATTAGCTTATTGAAGACGTTGCAAGCGGTCATTCTCTGAGGTGAGTATAGAAGAATCCGTATCTCCTTCCTACACTAGGCAACGTAACATTCGTTCTAGAAATGACGAGACCACTCGGGAACAAACCGGGAGAACCGCCGTTCCAATTGAAGGTTTGTTCAGGCGGTCACCTAAAGGTATGGGTGCCTACTCCGAATAGCTATTTATAGGTTGAACCCGATACGAAATTACTGTTCAAGTACAAATTGAATGAGCCTTGCACTATCGAAATGAAAATCACGAATACCACAAAAGATCGACAAACGTTTAAGGTAGGTCTAGGGTTTGCAGAATTGGCTTCATGCCACTAATGGTTGGTCAGATGATGGACGGAAGTCTCGGACTCAGCGAGACAACTAGCAAGGATTTGCCGCGCCTTCAAGCGGCTCGGGACTGCCGCTTAGCACACCTGATCAGCAATCTTCCCGAAGGAGAAGTCGAAATGTTTAGGTCAAATGCACGGACAATGATATCTTTCGAGTTCGACCACCGCTCTCGTTCGTTAAAGCTGATGAAACAGCCGTAGTGAAGGTATGGTGAGCTAAAAATGGCCGATCCATAGCCGTTCTCGTGGTTCCTGTCACGAAATGATCGTATCACAAATGGTCGATGGGAGCGATAGTGCTAGCAATCGATATCTATTCTAATACACACGTTTTTCTAGAGCAGGATGGAATGGGAAAGCTTTGCGCCCACCACTCACAGGATGTGTCAGATTCATACCCAAGGCCTATCCCAAAACGTAGTGCTTCGCTATTGAAAGCACCGCTTTGGCGATCTTTTCACCGATTAAGTGAGATATTCGGGTCTATAAGATGAGGTGGTCCGCACCCGAACACGAGCTGTTCTCCTTATTTCCTATCCTTAAACCAACTGGGGAAGCTCGCCCATACTAAGCTTTCTTTCCCTGCGGTGAAGTGAGTTAGCCTTTTGGAATGCCAAGTCTGGTCCAAGTTGTTTACAGATTGTTTTGACGGCAAAAACACCACCGGAAAACAATCGGCATTTCTTCGCCGTGTATCACATGAAATGTCTCGATGACACTGGAAAAACAGCTCGGCAAGTGGGTTATCCGGGCTCCAACTGGTTCTCTTGTGCTTTTAGCAGTAACCTATCTCTTGAAGGTGTGGACTCCGGATTCGAAAGCAGAAGGTGTAGCACGCATCATCGCAGTCTTCGAGCCAGTTGATGCAGAAAAGAAGGTAATTCCTCAATCTTCTGAGCGATATGTATGTCATTACATGAAATGTTTTGAAAGGAAGAGAAAGAAGGTGAAAAGAAAGAAGAAGAGAAGAAAGAGGAGAAGAAAGAAGAGAAGAAAGAGGAAAAGAAAGAGGAAAAGAAAGAAGAAAAGAAAGAAGAGAACAAGGAGGAAAAGAAGGAGGAAAAGAAAGAAGAAAAGAAAGAGGAAAAGAAGGATTAATCATATTTGTATGTGAGTTCACTTTGAAGTCCTTAATCTTAGTTTCTCCTCAATTTTCATATGACTGTCATTCATTTTCAGCGATCGAGGCAGTGACTGTCGACGGTGCAAGAATATTTTTGCGTGTACTTGTCGAATAAACACTTCTTCCACTGTCTTTAAGGCATTTGAAAGGGGGTGTGTACCAGAAGTAACAAAAGTTACCACGAGTGGCGGATTACAACCATATGAAGCAGTCCTCCAAATGAGCCAGGACAGAGCCCAAAGTATGCAGGGGTCCTGACACGATTGCCTGGCCGCTCGCCAGGAGCATGCTCAGAAGTGGACGAGCCAAATTTACTGTTGGGGCTACCGCTTAGCTGCTGCTTTGTGATCCATGAGGAGGTGACCATTCTCGTCATTGATATCGAAAGGCTTTTCTATGCTTAAGGTCTGGCGATGGGGGCTCTTGCAGCTAATGCCTTCCTTGCCGCCTTCTTCGCTTCCTGGTAGTTCTGCCAGTTGTCGTTCATATTTCCGAGTGAAAATACATAAAAGAGCTTCACCGTCCACATTCTGTTTTCACAAAATTTTCTCTGACAATGTCCTTCCAGAGCCATCAATAGATGGACTATTGCCAGTAAAGAACGGTAATGTTTACTCCTGGTGTAGTTCCAAAGTTATTCTGGGAGCTTGTGTTCTTGCATGGGCAGTCATACAGGTTAAGGGATTTGTAGCGGATCGTCAATGTACAGTTCAATCATGATAAAGTGCTCTGATCCAGATAGGCAAGGACTATGCCAGTTGGGCGATTGGCTGCTTTCATAGTCCGCCAGCCGGCGTGCCGGCGGAGGCAGTGCTAGGGAGGAGGAGGGAGGCAGACAGATAGGCANTGCCTATCTGTCTGCCTCCCTCCTCCTCCCTAGCATTGCCTCCGCCGGCACGCCGGCCGGCCGGCCGGCCGGCGGACTATGAAAGCAGCCATTCGAATCAGGCGGGAAGGACGGTGAGAGTCCTTCCCATACTACTACTGCCCGCCCAAAATTTAATCTCCCCCCACTGATCGTATCTGCATACCACACAGGCGTGATATTTGCAATCATCAGCGGACTGAAAAATTGTTTTGAATTCTTTTTAAAATGAGTTTACCTTTGACCAAACAAAGCAGGTGATATCAAAGAGCCAATTAATATGTCAATAAGTAAAATTCTTGCAAAGGCCTGATTTTCTCGCCATCATCTATACAAAGCCTGAAACCAACCATTCTGAGAAATACGTGATTTTAGGTGTTTTGTCGATTTCCTCCCGTTTTTTTCTTCACCGTGGTCACTGCTAACCTTCTACCATATCGTGTTAAGAATCCTATTGCCTTTACTCATACTGTTATTGTTCTATGAGCATTATAAACGGGCTACAAAGTCAGTCAATTGTAGTAGTAATGTTGTTTTCACGTGGAGATCATAAGCAGTTGTATCTCCAAAGTCAATAACATCGACTGCGTACGTCTACTATGCGCTTTGGGCTATTCGCCAGGTTCGTACTTTGGCAGTATTATGCAACTTGTTTTCTTATTGGAAAAGCCTTAGCTCAACAAAATGCATTCTTACTACTTTCTTAGTTTTTGGTAGAAGCTATACAGTCATGTTTTGATTTTCAAATGTTAGCAGCCCTTCTTGTCAGCACTTTCTTCTTTTTCCTCTTCTTCAGCACCACTTGGAGCAGGGTCCGTTTTTCTGGTGCAGTTTTCCATTTCAAAGTTTTTGCTTTATATTGAGTAACTTCTCAAGTAAAAGTACAGCCTCCGATTGGTATCCGACGGTATCGTTTCTCGTCGTGAAACTGTCTTCCAAGTTTTACTTCCTTAGGCTTCTTGTCTAGGCCGTAGGAATATAAGACGGACGACAACTTAGGGTTGGATACTGCGTTTCTGGCTGGACGAGATCAAGCGTAGCTGAGAAGTTGTGGCATAATTTTGTATTAATAGACAAAAATACAGTAAGCGACCGGACGTATGATGGACGAGTTTATGAAAAACTTTCTTCCCAACTCACACCCTCCCCCCACCCCTTATGTTCTCCTTATGAGAAGGGAAAGAACAACAGAACTTTCTGTGAGAACAACGAAATCCTATTCAGCAGGTATGATCCTCTTGATATTAGCAGATCCAGACGGATACCTGTCTTTATTCACGGTAGCAACACCCCTTACTCGCAAAATTTTTATCGGATCTTTGATGTTCGCGCCTTTTTTCATTTTTTCTTCTTCATTATATTCTTGTGAAGCTTTCAATGATGCAATTCGAGGGTTTTTGCTCATAGTAATATAATTATACGGAAAGGCTTAATTAAATGGCCAATATGGGTGGGCATTTGTGAATACCGCATAACAAAAGATAAAACGCCCTAGTCTGTTGTGCGAAAAAAGCTAATTTAGCAGGCCCATGAAGCTTATGAATTGCTGATGTCTGTTCATTTTCAACCCACGCTTCGCTTTTTTTCACAGGGTCCCTTTCAGAGCGTTGACCTGGCTGATCGCACCCTCTGAATGCCTGAATGTCAGGGGGTTTCGTTCTCATGCCTGGTCTGATCAATTTCTACATAAACATAACGAAAGCCCCTTCCGGCGCCTTGGAGAAGGCCTCCTTCATCATCTGATGTCCCGCTGGTTTCCAATTTTCTGGAGAATCCGTTGGTAATGCCCTTAATTGTCTTGGGCGCCAACCGATGAATTTGATCCAGTATACTTCAAATGATCAAAAGATAGAGGCGATTTTTATTCACTTTCAGAATATTTCTGAAGGTGCTTGATTTTAGGCCTGGGGTCGTTCCATCACAAAAGCCCATGAAGGGCCTGGATTACCTAAGGCTCCACTTCTTGACGAAGACTATTTCGAAGAATGCCTAGCTGGTCATCTCGAATAAATGATGCTTCAAGTGGACGAAAACTCAGAGTCGCATTGTGAGATATAGCACTCCTGACCTGGGCACTTTCCTTGAGTCGTCCCTTTCACTACAGAGAACTTCTGCAAGAAATGAAGAAAATTCCCCTCTTGGACATGGAATGGATTGAAGCTTCTCTTGTTTCTTTTCTTGAGGAGAATGAAAGTCAACCTGACCCTGAGAATGAGCGAGAAGGCACTTTCTGCTTCAAAACATGTCTGCTACACTTGATACCAGAAGGATTACAAGGTCTATAGGACTAGACGGATTCGAACTCAAAACTAAGCGGCATGTAGTCCTTACCATTTAGTCATCTCGTTAGGTCAGTCCTTCATTTTCACCGAATATTCCAATGAAGCGTTGTTAGTGAGGGATTCTGTAGAGGCAGACGTCCGACGAAATAGACTTCAATGACGAGAGTGCACTACTGTTTTCAGGCAGCATCAAAGCCGCCACATGTACGAATACCAGTTAGAGCGTGAAGTAATCAAGTTCGGCTTAACTCTTGCTCAACGATGTTCCCTGTGATGGCTAAGACCGTCAAAACACCTTGTTATCCGTCACACACTGCCTCTAAATGTCACGCTTTGCCTTTTCCCCTTTGATGACTTCAGCTCCCTTTCCTTCCCAGTTTCCTCTACCAAACATATACTGACCATATTTACCTTGACATATTACTTATTAGTGTTTGGAAATCCTTGCCATTGCTCAGCTTCATTTTCTCCGGAATGCGCCCAGCATCTGACTTGCACTCAGAATCACAGGAGCATTTGAATGAGTATGTGGCCCATATAGTGACTTGCGGTGGCCAGCCGACGTCAAGTGAGTGGCTTTCATACTCTCATGGTCAGACGTTCAACTTTTAAAGTATGGTAACAGTTGACCCATGTTGGAGGGGTGAAGGAGGGCTTGTTAGGTTTGGGCAAATATCGGCTCGAGATTCGATCCCCAAACCATGCCCGCCCGATAGTTTCACTGCACCGCTCCCGCCCATATCAGTCGTTACTGGTCATAATCATAATAAATCAGCATTTATTATGATTTTTTATCATATTCCCCATGGCAACCAAGCGATATTTTCATTTTCTACAATAAACAATTGCTTTATCCCTCGTTGTAGCAGAAATTTTCATTTGCACCTGCGCCATGCCTAAGCAAAGCCCTTGAAAATAAATGCCCCATGAAAAGATCCGATGGGAAAGTGGCGTCTGCGTCATCGTCACCCATGATTCCTTATTTAGAAATGAGCAGAATAAAATAACAGGAAATGATAGCCTGAAGAGGCTTTAGCGATTAGGGGGCGACTCCTTTTTAATGATAGTATTTTGTTGAGAATTTTTTCGGAAGTTTTTCATAAAGTAACCTCTTTTCCTCCGCAAAAATAACGAAAACAAAAGTTGCTGACGTATGAATTGGCAGTTTTTTTCGTCGAGGCGAACATAAAAACTTTCACGCTGAATAATTTTGAATGGCAAGAGCTCAAACACTTTTCGAGACTTCCATTTAATCGCTTGTCCTTTTTGAATAAAGTTGAACTGGCAAAACATCAGGAATATTTATACAATTATGATGTAAAAAATTCAAAACATTCCGTGCCATATTGAATATTTCCGAATGTTCTCAAAAAAAATTGCAAGAAACTACCCTATCCACAGAATGATGTCCCTATCTTTTATAGCCGATTTTTGCTAAATTAGAAAATTATTTAAATACTTCCGGATTTTCGGGAGTCTGAATCAACTTTTGATCTTTTCCTCGGTGGACCTCGGTGAGCTATTTGATCTTCAGCGATCAATCTCGTCGACGGGCACTAATCGATGGCATCATTCTCAATCATCTGCTCCTATCGATTGCATCCTAGCACTATAGTTATCTAGTTATCATGCTTAAACATGTTTTATCATGTGTTATCATTCCTAATCTCCTTGAATCATTTTCTTTATCACTGTCGCTTACAGTTGAGCGCATTGTTGCCATAGATTTTGAACTAAACTTTCAAAGAATACAATGAGTTTCTTTAGATTTCAGTGTGCCAATAACATTTCTTCCTGCTGAAGCTCAATCATTGAGACAAAAAAGGCA